TGTTATATTTATAGACTAATCAAGAATATAAATCTGTTCGTGTATCAGTTTCAGAATTAGCATTAAGTTGTTTAATTACATTTTGTAGATAAGACGAAACAACACAAGCCGTGTCTCCTGTCACGTATGTCTGCCGTGTTGGCCTGCTCTAATTCTGCAATGATTATATCACCTGAAGATAATGAGCAACGCAACTAGTGTAGGGATGTCAAAAGATAGACGCGATATAAATAGACCACGTATCTGTATATCCATGCAAATCCAGTGGCAACCCTGTTAGTAAGTACACCCGACCGATCAGTAGTACCATACTATCTTGTATTTTGTGTCAGTCTTTGATAAACTTGTGGGAGCCTCAGTGTACACCCGACCACTTCTTGCATTGTTCCTTTTTTGTATGAAACTATGCTGTGACTTGTGCGTGCAAGTGTACTAACAATTGGTGTCATATTTATTTAAGGTTTTTTTTAATACAAACGCCTCGGCTTGTATCGATGTCAGCACGTGGCGTGGCCCAGTATTTTTATGAGGCTTGTGTTTGTTTACTTTCAACGCTCATTGTTCATCCTGTTGTAAAGTTTGGCACACATTAAGACTATAAGTATTAATGAGTTAAAAAGTGGTGATTCTGATAATAATATTAGTGCATTTTGTGTAGGCAAATAAGGATATCTGTGCTGGTAAGAAGGCGCTGCTATCTTGGCTAGTCTGACAAATAAGATGTTAAACCTACATGCACATTTTATAGAAAACCATGAAATTGAAAAAACAAAAACGTAATATGTACTATAAGGATAAAATAAATTAAGACAAAAAAAAATAAAAATAACAAAATATGGAGTTGCCTTGACACCCTATTTAAAGGCAGCCAACTTCACACAGGGGGCATTTGCTCGTTGCCTTTGAAGGCGTTAGGTCGTGTCAAAGTGCGTAGTGTAAACGTGGGTAGTGTCGAATAATTGTGTAAATTAACGGTTGATTGTTTGTTCATAATTTAGTAAAATTGCTGAAGCTTTATTTTGTAAAAAGATAGTAAACCTAATTGTGATTCTTTCTTTTTTTTTTAATAAATTTTTGTTTTAATTGCTAAAATCAGAAGTGGGATTGGCCTCCCAGCTCACTGTCTGCTTTCTAAATTATTTTTTTAGGAGGGTGAACAAACAAACAGCCGTTAGTTGAATCTCTTTCGTGTTTTAATAAAAATTTGCTCGGAATGCGTAACCGGTTCAGATCGCGTAGTAGGTCGGAAGGTGGTACTCCACCGTTGCGAGATTAGGTAGTGATCGAAAGCGACGTCATGATCGTGTCCACAACCGTTCTTTGCGGCACCGTCGTCGCGTAGATTCATCTGACACAGATAGAGATCGTTCGTGTGTGCGTATTCGAGAACGTTCAAATCATTATCGGTGCGAGCAACCGTTTAGGCCAGACGAACGTCGTCGTTCGCGTAGTCGTGAAACTTCGATGAAGGAAACATTGAACGCTATTATGACTCGACTTAGTAATATCGAACAAAAGACGGCGGATACGTCCTCGATGCCATCTCAACGTGACAACACACCTCAAGGCAATCGTGAACCATTTGTGACTGCCATGCAAGCACTAGCGGACACTATCCTCAGTATTAATCGTGGAAATCGTGGTTACTTTGTATCCAATTTCGATCCTTCTGTACATGACTTTGAGGTGTGGTGTTGCGAGGTAGAACGTGCTAAATTATCTAACGGCTGGACTGACTTAGAGTGTTTATCGCGTGTCGCGGTTTGCCTTAAAGGTGACGCTAAGACCTGGCTTAACGAATGGACGACGAATGACCGGTCGTGGTCAAATTTTACTAAAGAATTTAAGTCTCTTTGTCCGAATAAGATTGACTACGCTAATATTCTTTTCGACGTAATGAACACATCCTCGGACAAATTTCAATCCTATGCCGAGTACGCTCGTCGGTCACTTTTACGACTTCGTATAGTTAAAGGACTCGGTGAAGAAGTCATGATTCAAATTATAATCCGTGGAATAACTGATGCGCAAATCAAGTCAGTAGCTTCAAACTCTAATTTAACGGTCGAGAATGTAGTTTCGTTCTTAGCCAACTATACTAAACCTATGTTTAATGTTAAATCTGATAATCATAAACCATTCATTCTACATAAGAATAAGTCTCACAGTTCTGGTTCAGATCAGAGATGTTTTGGTTGTGGTAAGCCTGGACATACTGAAGTTAACTGTCGCACTCCGGTTCAACAACATGCAAATACTAGGGATAGTGGTTCTAGAATTACGTGTACCTTTTGTAAAAAAGTGGGTCATAAAGAAGACGTTTGTTTTACCAAGACTAAATTATTAACTCAGGGTACAAATCGGAGAAATATTAACTTAGGTAAAGAACTTCCAAATTGAATTTCCACATATAGCACTAAAAATAGATTTTGTAGTTGTACCCGCCATTTGTATGAAGATATCGATTATTATTTTTACCGATGTACTGAATAGGGATGGGTAGTCAGTATTAGAATTCGAATTACACGTCAACGTAGTACAGAAGGTAGATGAACCTATTAATGTTAACACTCCTCTCCAGAGTTCCGAGTGAGAATTATTATAGTCCGTTATCACTAAAATTTCAATCATTTTTAATAACCGGTACGGCGTCCACAACGGTTAAGGCGTAAAACATGAGTATTAGGTTATCCAGTTCAATACCGGTGGTCTATCATCCTTATCGACTATCCCATTTAGAAAAGTTAAAAGTGCGCGATATAATTTTAAGACGACAGATATGCCATGGTCAGGTTAGGCCGAGCCCTGGCAAGATGCAATGCTAAATAAGTCTGGTAGCTCCTTGGTTTTGCCGGCTGTTTCCATCAGTATATGAAAGATTATGCGACGTTGTCCACGAGCGGCGCAGGTGGACAACATCGAAAGATCTTTAAACTGGGCACAGATTGCCCAGGCCGCAGACACCGAAACACAAATCCTATTACGAAAATGATTAGATGGTCAATTGGACCCTACACGTTATGTGTGTCAAAACGAACTCCTGTTTAACGGTATTCCCTGGTAGGAGAGGAATCTAGACTGTTGTGTTACATCCCTAAAGGTTATCGCTCGAGCTTATTGCGAAATTTCCATGATGAGCACCAACACATAGGAGCGAATAAAACTTACGATCTTGTACATAAACATTTTTGGTTTTCAGGTCTAAAACAATTCGTAAAAAAAAAAAATACACCTCCCATTGCCTTATCAGTATTTCAAAGAAACACCCAAAAAAAAAAAAACGATATCCTGTTCAGTACGGTTCATTTTGATGTTCTCTGTCCTAAGTCAAATGACTTCAAGTTTGTGTTGATTTTAGTACATTCTTCCACTAAAATCTGTTTTTCCTATTTACCGACATGATCCCGACGAGCTTAAACGCACCTTTGATTACGCAATACTAATGTTTGGCGTACCAAAGATGTAGGTTTGAGACCGACTAAGAATGTTTGAATCTTTCACCGCTACAAAAAGAGTTGGGTTGCGAAGTTCACTACGTAACGCCCGAAATGCACCATGCAAATGGTCAAGTCGAGCGTTATGTACGAACAGTTTTAAATTTGATTCGTGTTGAGATTTATTATAATAACAGCATTTAGTCTGCTTCACTTCGTAAAATACAACTTTACAAACTTTACAACAAATTGTCCGCGTTAAATTTGTTGATTTTTATTGAAGCAACCACTCCTGTTATCCGTGCGTTGATCCGCGATGTGACACTTGAGGAGCACCGACCAAACCGCGAAGGGTGGAGAGAAATTTGCAGGACTCGAGCCAGAACTTTACCAAGAAGTAATCGAGAAGAGCAAGATGCACGTGTGTGTCATCCAGCGTCGGCACCCTTCGAGAGTATTTCAAGTTGATGACTTAGTGTTTGTTATCAAATACTCCCAATCCACTGGTAAGCTAGACTCGGGTATGCGAGGCCCGTACAAAGGTGCTTGCAAACGATCTATACGAACTCTGTGGAGCCTGTGGTAAGACTACACAAGCGGCTCAATACATGGTGTTGTGGAAAGGATAGTGGTGTCCTGAGAGTTGTGCAACGTTCTTTGAGAATGAGTTTTGAAATCTATCTAATGCCTTTTATTTTGTTTAGAGATGGTCGATCCGGCTGGCCTCAGTTGCGGTCCGGATGAAGAACTCTTCCTGCAGACACATTTAGACAAGGGTTCTATTGTGATCTGGTAGGATCTGGCTGGCCTCAGGTGCGGTCCGGATGAATAGCTTTTCCTGCAGACACATATAGGCAAGGGTTCTATTGTGATCTGGCAGTTATGGATGACGTGCAGGCTGAGCTCTAGCACTTTAAGACACGCTCAGAGATTAAAGGCTCTGACGTGGTCAAGCTTTAGTCGGGTCCTCTCAGACACGTTTAGAGACAGGGGCTTTATCGTGGTCTGGGTGGGCTTTGACTGGTCGGATGCACCGTAAAGACAGGGGCTTTACTGTGCACGTGACAAACACGCAGGGGTCGTGTTATGTCCACGGACCTGCTCGGTTGTCCGAGTGGGCGGAGAGGTGAACTCCGACGTGGCGCGTCCCCGGGTGGTGGATAGGGGAATGCCCCGGCAATATGCCGGGGTAGGGCGAAAGCCCCGCGAACCAAACACTGGGGAGGGAAATGGGGAGGGCGGCCCCGGCGTGCACTAGCCTGCCGTCGGGGAGGGGTGGGGGGGATCCGTCCTAAACTAGAGGGGGCACGCCGACCTCTCTAGCATACCCGTAACCCTGTGGTCCCTTCAACGATCTCCATCAAACCGGCGTTATGGAGTACGTTGGGACCACAGAAGCGGAGGGCTTGCCTTAACCGGCCGGCCCACGAGAAAGGAAAACTCTATAAAAACCCGACAGAATAGTCGTAAAAACCTACAGATACCTCTGTAGTAAGTAGCCCCACCCTTCGGAATGGGCGTCACCCGGGGGTGGAGTTTAGATCGGCCCTACTCGTGGGAATCATTATGGATTTTTCAAATAAACAAAATAAAACGGTTGAAGAAGGAGAAAGAGGGCGCGATGCGCAAAGAGGAGAGGAGGAGAAGGAGGCTATGGAGGGAGTGATTGTTGTCAGTGCGACCTGCTCCAGTGACGAGAATACCAGTGGTGGGGAAGAGGAAGTTTCTGCGCGGCGGCTACGAAGCCACGCCAAAAAGGCTGAGCCGGCGCCGGCGCCAAAGGTGACCCTGAAGCTCACCTCAGGGGAACTGAAGAAAAAGAGGGCCCTGAGGGAGTCGTCCGGCGAGGAGGCAGGATCAGCCGTGGCAAATAAGTTGTCCACGGCGGCCAGAGGCCGCATAAGAGGAAAAACAGGGAAACATGCTTTCCTAAAAGCGGCGAAGGATCACCTGGCGAAGGGGTTGGAGAGTGACTCGGGCGACTCCGACCCCACTTACCGG